AAAAAAAAAGAATGAACTATATAGAAAGAGAAAGGGAGGCCAAGCACGGTGGCTCACCCCTGTAATCCTAGCACTCTGGGAAGCCAAGGTGGGTGGATTGCCTGAGTTCACAGTTTTGAGACCATTCTGAGCCAGAACCAGAGCATGACCTCGTCTCTAAAAAAAAGCTGAGTGTTGTGCTGGGCACCTGTAGTCCCAGCGCCTTGGGAGCCCAAGGTAAGAGAATTGCTGAAGCTTAGGAGTTTGAGGTTGCCGTGAATTCTGACACCATAGCACTCTACCCAGGGCAACAAAGTAAGATTCTGTCTAAAAAAAAAAAAAAATTAAGAAGATTTTTAAAAATTAAGAGCCAGGTAAAAAAAAAAAGACCAGGCTCGGTGCCTGTGGCTCAAGTGGCTAAGGTGCCAGCCACATACACCTAAGGTGGTCGGTTTGAATCCAGCCCAGGCCGCCAAAACAACAATGATGGCTGCAACCAAAAAATAGCCAGGCGTTGTGGGAGGCGCCTGTGGTCCCAGCTGAGGAGACTCGCTTGAGCCCAGGAGTTGGAGGTTGCTGTGAGCAGTGAAGCCATGGGACTCTACCCAGGGGGACAGCTTGAGGCTCTGTCTCAAAAAAAAAAGAGAGAGAGAAAGAAAAGGGGAAAGGGGGAAAACCCAACAACATAGTATGTATGGGCTCGGTGCCTATGGCTCCAGTGGCTAAGGTGCCAGCCACATACACCTAAGGTGGCAGGTTTGAATCCAGCCCAGGCCTGCCAAACAACAATGACAGTTGCAACCAAAAAATATTCAGGTGTTGTGGTGGGCGCCTGTGGTCCGAGCTACTTGGGAGACTGAGGCAGGAGATTCACTTGAGCCCAGGAGTTAGAGGTTGCTGTGAGCTGTGATGCCACAGCACTCTACCCAGGGGGACAGTTTGAGGCTCAGTCTCAAAAAAAAAAAACATAGTATGTATGCATAACTTTATCAAATCATGGAGTGTTATGTATTTTCTGTGGAGATTTTAGGAAAATCAACACTTTAGGTGTTCCTGAGTGTTTTGTTTTTTTTTTTTTTTGACCAGGGTGGGCTTGAACCTGCCACCCCCAGCATATGGGGCCAGCCCCCTACTCCTTTGATCCACAGGCACTGCCTGTTCCTGAGGATTTTTTTTTCTTTTTTTGAGACAGAGTTTCACTTTATCGCCCTGGGTAGAGTACTGTGGCATCACAGCTCACAGCAACCTCCAACTCCTGGGTTTAGGCGATTCTCTTGCCTCAGCCTCCCAAGTAGCTGGGACTACAGTCACCCACCACAATGCCTGGGTATATTTTTGTTGTAGTTTGGCTGGGGCTGGGTTTGAACCCGCCACCCTCGGTATATGGGACCAGTGCCCTACTCACTGAGCCACAGGCACTGCCTCTGTTCCTGAGGTTTTAATTTAAGTTTTTTCCTCATCCCTACACTGAACCCTACCTTTTTGAAAGGAAGTTGCTGCCCTGGCAAAACCACACAGGTAGTCTAGTTTCACTTTTTGCAATTGGACTTTCCTTCAAATAACTTACATAAATTTTAAATTTTCTTTTCTTTCTTTCTTTCTTTTTTTTTTTTTTTGAGACAGAGCCTCAAGTTGTCCCCCTGGGTAGAGTGCTATGGCATCACAGCTCACAGCAACCTCCAACTCCTGGGCTCAAGTGATTCTCCTGCCTCTGCCTTACGAGTAGCTGGGATTATAGTCGCCTGCCACAACACCCGGCTATTTTTTGGTTGTGGCTGTCAATTGTTGTTTGGTGGGCTAGGACTGGACTCAAACCCCCTAGCTCAGGTGTATGTGGCTAGCGTCTTAGCTGCTTGAGCCACAGGTGCCGAGTCAAATTTTAAATTTTCTGTCAGGCAAAGTGGTTCATACCTGTAATTGGTTCTTTGGGAGGCTGAAGTAAGAGGATTATGTGAGGCCAGGAATTCAAGACCAGTGTGGGCAACACAGCAAGACCACTTCTCTATAAGAAATTTCTTGGCTCGGTGCCTGTGGCTCAAGTAGCTAAGGTGCCAGCCACATATACCTAAGATGGCGGGTTCGAATCCAGCCCAGGCCCACCAAACAACAGTGACGGCTGCAACCAAAAAATAGCCAGGCGTTGTGGTGGGCACCTGTGGTCCCAGCTACTTGGGAGGCGGAAGTAAAAGACTCACTTGAGCCCAGGAGTTGGAGGTTGCTGTGAGCTGTGATGCCATAGCACTCTACCCAAGAGGACAGCTTGAGGCTCTGTCTCAAAAAAAAAAAAAGAAAGAAATTTCTTTTACTAATGTGCATGATGGCAATGATACATTTCAGAACTATTTT